ATTATTAATAAATAAAATTTTAAAAAGGTCCAAATATGCTGTTTTTAAAAAGTAATTACAGGGCAGCTAGGTGGCGCAGTGGATAGAGCACCAGCCCTGAAGTCAGGAGGACCTGAATTCAAATCCATCCTCAGACCAAACACTTGACACTTACTAGCTGTGTGACCCTGGGCAAGTCACTTAACCCAAACTGCCTTAAAAAAAGAAAAAGGTAATTGTAGCTTCTACATTAAGGGACCAGAGGGCTTGGAATATAATATTCCAGAGATCAAAGGAGATAGGATTACAGCCAAGAATAATCACCTACCCAGCAAAACTGAGTATAATCCTTCAGGGGAAAAAACGGATATTCAGTGAAATAGAGGACTTTCAAGCATTCTTGATGAGAAGACCAGAGCTGAACAGAACATCTGACTTTCAAATACAAGACTCAAGAGAAAAATGATAAAGGTGAACTGAAGATGAAGGGGTGATATCTGGAGAATAAAATTAAGGGATAAGAGAGGATTATACTGGGAGAAGGAGAAAGGGAGAGGTAGAACGGGGTAAATTATCTCACATAAAACAGACAAGAAAAGGCTTTTACAGTGGAGGGGAAGTGGGGGAAGGTGAGAGGGAATGAGTGAATTTTATTCTCATCAGATTTGGCTTAACGAGGGAATAACATACACATTCAACTGGGTATGGACATCTTTATCTTATCCTACAGGAAAATAGGGGAGAAGGAGATAAGAGAGCAGAGGGATGATAGAGGTAAGGGCAGATCAGGGGAGGAGGAAGCAAACACTTCTGAGTAGAGACAGGGTCAAAAGAGAATAGAATAAAGGGGGTATGGGATAGGATGAAGGGAAATATACTTAGTTTTTCACAACTGACTACTATGAAAATGTTTTGCATGACTACACATATAGAACCTGTATTGAGCTGCTTGCCTTCTCAATGAAGGTGGGTGGGGAGGGAAGAAGGAAGAAAATCTGGAACCCAAAGTTTTAAAAACAAATGTTAAAAATTGTTTTCACATGCAACTGGGAAGTAAGATATACAGGCAATGGGGGATAGAAATCTATCCTGCCCTACAGGGAAACAGAAGGGGAAGGGGGAAGATAGAAGGGAGGCAGACTGGGGAAAAGGGTATTTAGAATGCATGCCGTCTTGGGGGGGGGAGGACAAGATGGGGAGAAAATCTGGAACTCAAAATCTTGTGGAAGTGAATGTTGAAAACTAAAAATAATTAAGTAAAATTTTTTCAAAAAAGGTAATTGTACTATGGGTAGGATAATACAGTGATTTCAGAAGGGACTCTTTCATGTGAATCTATCAAAGAATTACTACCACTAGAATGGTAATATTTCTGAACCTTAGAAAAAAAGTTCTACTAATACTACTAAATATTGTTCACAAGCTACCAGTAATGAAGAAGTCTAGTTTATATTACAATTTCATCAAGTAAATAAGCAAATAGCATTTATTAAGTGATTACTAAGTCTCTCACATTCATCCCAACCTTAGGGGTAATTCGGCAAGCCCTGTGTTTCAGGAAGCTTCAAGACCTACAGAATAATGCCATCAAAGCCCAGGAGTGGAAGAAAAGAAAACTCCAAATCAATGCCTTGGTTCTCAGGACTAAAGCACTTTGTAAACTTCAAAAAGCTATAGAAATGTGAGCTGTTATTATATTTAGCTGAGTACGACGCATAGCAGTTTTATCTACTTTTAGTTTTTGTCCAGATCATACATCAGAGAACAAAGCACATCATCTTAGCTACATTTCATTACAGTTTGTTAAAAAAAAATTAGGTTATAAGTCATGTACCCCAAGACCTTCATTTTAATATAGCCCACACCTCCCACTGTGTTAACCAATCTGAGCTGCCATTCCTTGGGAATGCCTACTCTTTGAAGGGCATGTAAACTGAGCCTACTACCACGAAGGGTCTTTGGTCTAAAAGATGGACAAATGACCATTCCTTTATAAATAACATGCTGGCCTTATTAATAAAATTATTAAATTACCCAGAAAAAAAAAAAACTATTGTTACCGTTTCAGTATTTGCTTTAAGATCTGTACCTAGAATCATCATCGATCTAGAGCTGGTAGGGACCGCAAAAGACACTGAGACCAAGTCTATCACTTAATAAAAGCTAATTATAATAGAATTCTGTCACACTTCAACGTTTACAGAGAGCTTTACGTGTCAACTTATCTGATCTTTACAACAACCCTGCAAGGCAGGTGCTATTATCCTCATTTTATAGATGATGAAGCTGAAAGAGACAAAGGTTCAGTGGCTTGCTCAGGACCATGCAGGCAATAAGGGTCTGAGGCTACATCTGAACTCAATCAGGTCTCCCTATCTCCAAATCCAGTGCTCTAACCAGGGTATTACCTAAAACTGAGACCCAGGGAGGCTGGTCACACATGACTCTCGGGGAAGGATTTGAATCCAGATCCTCAACTCAGGAGCCAAGGCTCCTTCCACTGTACCTCACTACCTCCTGGCAGCATGAAATTTTTTAACCTAAGTATAAGACTTTACATGGATTCCTAATTAAATTTTATATTATTAGATTCAGTCCTTCTAGCCTGTCAAGACCTCTTTGGATCCTGATTCTGTCATTCACGTTCTTGTTTACTCCCTTCAAACTTTCTGTCACATTCTATCAATGTCTTCAGGTTATGGATAAAAATACTGAACTAAATAGAATCCAGGACAGAAATGTCTAATAACCCTTAGAAATCTGTTTACAGTGGCATCAACCTACTAATATCTATGTACTGGGCCAAAATCCACTTATTAGAATTATAGTATGCAACAACACCATGATGGACTTCAAATGCCTTGATGGAATTCAGATACACCATATTTCCTTGACCTACTAATTTGGCAACTGTTTCACTAAAGGAAGTGAAGCTGCTTCATGGGATCCCAAAATTTTAGAGCTGGAAGATCCTCAACAGCCATCTAGTTCAACCTGTACCATAAAGGAATTTCCACTGTAACCTAGCTGGACAAGTGATCATATAAGTTCTGTCTAAAGACACCCAAGAAGGAGCAACACCTACCCACAAATGCAGTCCATTCCCCTTTCAGACAGCTCTAATTGTAAAGAAGTTTTCCTTGAAACAGAACCCAAATTTGCTTCTTTGAAACTTCTCATTGCTCCTAGTCCTGCCCTCTAGGTTTAAACAGAATTAACACTAAGCTTTCTCCCACAATATCCTTCTAAGTACTTGCAGATAGCTCCCAGGTTGCCATTCCCCCCAATTATTTTCTTATGCAGGCTAAAAATTCCACCTTCTTCCACATGATCCTTAATCACCCTCAGTCACAACCTATCATTATCCTGGTTGCCCTCCTCTGGATGCTGTTGTCCTTTTAAAACTGTGGTGCTCACATAGGGAGAGGGATTGTGACTTCAGTGTTGTAAGGAACTGTCATGTGAGGAAACTTCTCAACCTAATGCAGGTTGACAACTTCTCTGCAACTAACAGGCCTAGAGAGTTGCCCAGATCACCAAGAGGCTGTGACTTTCCAGGTACCTCAGAGCCAGTATGTGTCAGGAAGCAGGACACAACAGATTTTGGCGGCTTCGTAGGCCAACTCTATCTGCTGTGCCAAGCTGCCTCTACTGACTGTATTAATAGAATGGAATACCATTCTCCAGAGGTTGTTGGATCAGGGCAGACAGAATACAATGGGACAGTACAGGCTTTTTTTGGCTGCCAGTTCATACTATTAACTCATACTGAGTTTTTGTACACTATAATTCCCAGCTCTTTTACAGATGGGGAAGACCAAGGCATCCCCATCCTATAATTATATAGTCTGATGTTAGTGAAGCCAAGTTGGCTCCTAGTGTTAACTACTTTTTTTCTTGTCTAAGGGTTCACAAACTATTCAAATAGAACTCTAGCTGGGATAGACTCAGAGATCCACATCATGCTTATTAGTATACAGTTTGTGGAATCCTTTAAATTTCATAAGCCTCATCATCTTCATCTGTAAAGGGGGTTACTGTGAGGACTTGCCTCATAAGGTTGTTGGAAAGATAATGTGATTCTCTTTGTGTGTGTGTGTGTGTGTGTGTGTGTGTGTGTGTGTGTGTGTGTGGTGTGTGTGTGTGTGTGTATCAAGTGCTCTATAAATCTCAAAGTGCTACATGAAGCATGAAACAATAATTACAGATTAATTAAGCTTTCTTAAATACTTATTACATGGAAGGCACCACCTAAGGAACTGGGAATGATTATTTATTTTGGAGAAATAGGATCATAAGATCATAGCTCATTTTACAGATGAGGAAACTGAGGACAAAGGAGATTAAGTGACTAGCTCAAGGTCACAAAGTGAGAATAGTAAGAACAGTAAGAATCAGAGACAGACTATGAAGACAGGTTCTCCTACTCCAGAGCTAGAGACCTTTCCATCACACCATGCCACTTTTGGCTTTGAGAAGGATATAATCAGATTGGGGAAATGAGGGAGGCATGTGCACAACTTTCATACGTATTAGAATTAAGATAAATGTGTAAGTCAAACCAAGAGGCATAACAGATTTGGAGGAGAGGAAAGAAGTACAACAAGAAAAAGGCTTCATAGCAGAAGTACTACCTGAGCTACGTCTTAAGTGGAAGGAAGGACTTAAGTATAAAATCAAAACACAGTTTCACAACATTAATCTAGAATTCCACAACAATAATCCAGAATTGTGTGCATCTAGAAGAAGGTCTCTGTAACACTGAGGTATACACTGTTCAACATCGCAAAATCAAAAGGCAATCTCAGGCATGAATTCTTATCATAGATTCAGATTTGGTAAGGACTTTAGAGGTCATCATATCCAACATCATTATTTTACAGATGAGGGAAGTTCGGCCAAGACTGGGATTAAATTCTGAGCTGAGATTTGATCTCAGTTCCTCTTACTCCAAATCTTCTTTTCCCACACCAAAATGCCTCCAATAATGTGTAAGTATAAGCAAGATCGTAAATACTCACCTGTCTAATAGACATGGTACAGAGTATATAGAGGAAGATGAAGGAACAGTCTGTATAGTCTTCCCCCAACAGATTTCGATGAGATAATCCTTGGATGTAGGAAAGAGGAGTGAAGGGAAGCTTGGCTACCACCCTGCCATCAAATCTAGGAAGGAAAAAACAAATTATTTTTATTTTTGGATGACTGATGAGATTCCCAGTTCAGATAAGCTCTTGGGACAGGAACAACACTTAGGTTCTCTGATCTCTGAAACACAAAGAAAAGGTGACCAGAGGTAAGGACCTAAATAAAGTGCACGGATAAAAGGAAGGGTTTGGATTATTCCCATCACCCATTCCCTAAACCATGAAATGAAATAGTTCATGAAAAGCTATTGCTTCAGAGAATTATCCAGCACAAAATACATTTTCCAAGTCCTAGAGATCAATGTTACAAATGCATTTCCAAGATGAAAGGAATGTATCCTAAGGATAGATACTGCAGCTACTACATGTTTTCCGAGACAAACAGTACATAAAAGACAGTGGTTATCAGGCAGGGGAAGCAGAAAAAAAATAAAAATGGAAAGTTGCTGTTCATGGATTAGGTATTTTTGCTAGCAGAAAATTAACAATGTTTATAATAGTTGCAAAATACACACACACAAACACACACACTCTGCATCTTAGAACTAGGAGGAACTTAATTAAAACTTCTTTATTTTGATAATGAAGAAGAGGAGGCATGGAGCTAATCAAGCTGAAAGTGTCCTTGGATAAACTAACTCAGAATCATAAAGCTAGAAAGGCCTGTAAACATTATTTAGTCCACTCACTTCATCATCTGACAGATAAAAAAATTAAGGTCCAAACATTTCATACATGGCCACACAGGCAGGTAGCAAGCGTGGCCTATATCCCAAGTCTCCTGATCCCAGTTCAACATTCTTTCTATTACACTGCAGTACATGAAATTAGGAAAAGAGATAAAACTTTCCAAGATAATATAAAAACTTACTAAGGAAAACCACTGTAAGTCAAAAACTCTGGGTTGGGCTATAGGCTTATTATCACATTAGGTAAGCTATTCTAGTACTCTAAGCCCTATTTTGTTTCCATGTAAAATAGAGGGCTCATTCTTCTACTATATTTCCCAGGAATGATGAGAGAATTAATACTTAGAAAATATATTTTCCACCCCCTCTCCTCTTTTTACTTTAAGTGTGGCAGTAAACAAGGACAGGCCCTTAAAAAAAAAAAGTCAGCTAGTCCAATCCCTCATCTAATGGATAGGGGTTAAAAAAGTGAAGCAACTTGCCAGAGCTCACACAGGAGTAAAGTGGAAGACTGAGATGTGGATCTGGGGCCTCTAACTTCAATCACCAATGCTTCTAACCATCAAATGGAAGAAGCACCCTGCCCTGATTACTCCATTGTACAATAACATGACAAACGGAGCATCAAGCACTAAACAAAACTGCCAATTGTGGGAAGAAGAAGTCATGGATGGCAAGGAGCTGGATGATTTTTCGTAGTCTGAAGTAACAACAGAGGAAAATACAGAAATCAGCAGCTGCATTAGATACACAAAGAGCTTGTTTTCCCTCAGAGGAGTTCAGAGTGTCTCTCAAAAACACTACATATTGAGGCAGCATCTGTAGAGAGGGAAGAAAGGGAAAAGGTAATAGCAATATAATCCTTTCTCTCAGAGACAGAAAAAACAAAGAAAGAAAATCTTGCTAGACTTTTTTTACCCTTGCAATTCAGTATAATCACAAAAAACTTTTGCTTACAAAATCATTATCTCTGAATAACTTCCAAAAAATTATTTCAATGAAAAGTAGCATATATTCAATGAGGTGTTTTTCCCATTGTATTTTCTAATTATCATTTCTAAATTGCTAGAGATCCTACATATATGTTCCTTTCTTACACAAAGAAAAGCAGTTCAGTTATGAAGGACCCTCTCTTACATATAGCAAGCAATTTGGTAGATGATGTCAAATCAATTATTACCTTCTCTTTATAAGAACTTTACCATTAAAACTATTACTTTCTCTAGGAAGGGATATTAAGATAGTATTGGAAGAAAGAAACAAATCACAAAACAAAAAAACAAATCAAAAAAAGTAAAAGGGGCAGCTAGGTGACACAGTGGAGTCAGGAGGACCTGAGTTCAAATCCGGCCTCAGACATTTGACACTTACTAGCTGTGTGACCCTGGGCAAGTCACTTAACCCCACTGCCTAGCAAAAACAAAAAACAGCAACAACAACAACAAAAACTTACCTAGTCTCCCTCAAAGCAGAGTCAAGGGACTACTCAAGCAAAATGTTGTAAATGTGGTCAAACACATCCAATGTTTTAGATGTTTGCCTAATTGCTTTTCTTATTTATGAGAGTTTACATGGAGAGAGGATCTCCAGAAATGACTGCTATAAAACCAAAAATAACTAATCACACCCCCCCCCCATCCACAGCTTTAGAGCTAACAGGAGCCTTAGAACCCATCCAGATAAAATCTCTTCTTTTACCAAGGAAGACATTAAGGCATTGAGAAATTACTTGAACTGCCCAATGTCATACAGGGAGGTGACAGTGGCAAATCTTGAACCCAAATCTCTGGCTGCAAATTCAGCACTGTTTACCCTGCACCTCCTCACAGTATGATGTAGGCAAGGCTGTAATTTGAACTAATTTGCTGGATGCCTGCCCCAACAAGCAGGGCCCTACAAAGTAGGAGCATCGCTCCAGGTCACAGTTTGATGCAGTTCAAGGTCTTCTATCAGAAGAAATCCTGCAATATTATGACTCAAGGGTGGTTTTTGGTTGTTTCCTCAAATCTCAAAGTTACAAATGGCATAAAGCGCATAACATTGTTTCTGTTTTCCAAAAACACTTATGTGGGGCATATGGGGTTATAACCTCTGGATCCCCCGCAGTACTTCATTACCCAATCTTCTACAGCTACAGTTTCCACACTAATATATCCTACTAGGTTAGGAACGATGTAGATGAGGTATCTTGTACTTAATAGGGAGTAAAAGTTCATTAGGTTTTACCTTTTTGGCCTGAGAATGGAAGGGGTAGAGGATGGAAGTGACTTATCCAATGTCACAAAATGAGAACCAGGATTCAAACCTGGAACCTGTGATTCCCAAACCAGTATCATTTCCATTATATCAAAGTGTCTGCCCAGATGGCTACCCACAATCACAAGTTTACACATCTAAGACTGGCTTTTAGGAAACTGTATTATCAGCTGATATCTAAAATACCATACTCAGTTCTGGAGGCCATATTTTAGAAAAAAGTGATGAGAGCATAATCCAGGAATGTCTCAAGATCACACCATTTAAGGGCTGGCTGAAGGAATTGGGGATGTTTAATTTGCAAAAAAGATGACTTAGGGGAGACAAGATGGATATATCTTCAAGTTTTAAAGGCTTAAAATATGGAAGGAATTAGGCTTGTTTTGCGTGGTTCCCAAAGCAGGGAAGCAGGCTTAGGGTAAATGTAAGGAAAATGTTCCCAATAATGAGAGCTTTCTCAACATGGAACCTACTGCTTCAGGACACAGTGGGTTCCCTTCACTAGATATCTTCCAGCAAAACCTGGATGGCCACTTGTCAAGTATATTGTTTAGGCACATATCAGACCAGAAGGCCTCTTAAGATTTCTTCTTCTGAAGATTTTTTCCTTCTGAAATTCTTTCTTCCTCTCAAAATTCTGTGATTCTATAAAAGGTCCCAACCTACCTATCCAATATTAATTATGACCATCCAAGACACCTTCCAATTTAATAAAACTGTTGCTTTCACACCCTATGCTCATTCTTGCCCTTTGCACATACTATTCCTTCCATTTAGAATGTCCTCTAGCTAGCCAAATTCTACTCATCATCCAGGTCCCACTGCCTCCAAGACTTCCCGATTATTACACACACACACACACACACACACACACACACACACACACACACGCACTCTCTCTCTCTCTCTCTCCTATCATACTCCAAATTCTAAAGAAGTTTAATTCCTTTGTAGTTCTCATATAAACTACACAGTTCTGAATAAACAAAGTTTGTTTCTAACGGTTTCATGTTTTCAATCTTCTTTCCCCAACTAAATTACAAGCTCCATGAGGGCAGTAACCATCTTACTGATTGTCTGGCATCTTCTATATCACTCAGAACAATTTCAGGTGTGGTAAGGACTTAATAAATGTGTTTTGTTGATTGATAAATGGCAATGTAAGCATCAGAGACACTCCAGCAATGAAGTACAAATAAACTAAGCAGACCAAAAACACTTCAAAGAGCACCCTGAAAGTGACTACAAAACTTTGAAATACAAATAAAACAGGAAGATGGCTAAAGAATGATTCTGATGATCAGATAAAGGAAATACACTCCAAGTTGAAGTGATAACAGAGATTAAGTAAGAAAGATTCTAAGCAAGACCCAAGTCATTGCAGGACAGACAGGCATTTCCATATAAGATAAACTGATATAATCAGTGATACAAGACAGGTTCACTGGGAGAACGGAATCAAAGCAAAAAGCATTTCTTGCTAAGAATTCTCTGAGATCAGATACATACATGGAAAAGGTTTTGATGAGATTACATGGTCATTTTAAAATTATCATGGGACTTAGAAAATAGATGCTTTTGTCACAGATGTGGAAATAGCTTAGAAAGAGAAAACAAAAGTAACAGATAAGTGGATACTTCATTGATTGGAAAAGCATAAACAAAAGGGCTTCTAAGGGACTGATGACAAAGCTAATCTTAAATCATTTGATAAAGAATATGTAATTTCCAGGTCTTTAGATAATAATTTCTTCCAGATAAATTAAACATTTAATCAATGGAGATGAAGCATAGTCAAAGCTTTCAAGGTGGTGGTGAAAGTAGAAAAAAGTAGTCCGGTGCTTCACTGTTTCCAAGAGTGAGGCAACAAACATACAGAAATAAAAATTAATTCAAACTACATTCATCTTAGAACCCATCAATTACTATCTAAAAATGAAGCGTGGGTAGTTCATTAGATCTGATGCGTAATGGGCTGAGAGTTAAGAAAAACAATAGGACAATAACAGCAGCTCATATTTACAGTGTTTAAGGTTTGCAAGACACTTTCCTGATATCAACAACAGTGAGGCAGACAGTGAAATATTATCCTCATTTTATGAGAAAACTGAGACCAAGAGGAGTTAAGTGACTTTTCCAGGGTGACACAGCTGGGAATCAAACATTATCTCCCACACTCCTGAGCTTTTTTACAAAGGGAACTGAAGATAAAACGGAACATTTTATAACAAGTGAGGATACATCTGTATTCAAAATACTTCAGGTGATTTTGGTTGTTTCACTTCGACAGAGGCATATCTAGAGAAGAAACTAATAATAATACCTTAGCATTTATATAGCTCTTTAAAGCTTGCAAAGTGCTTTTTACTAAAATGCTATCTAATCTTATCCTCATAACAACCCTGGGAGGCAGGTGTTATTATTACTCCTCAAGTTCTGAGGGGAGGTGAGAGGAAGAGAAAAAAATGCTTTTTAATTAAAAAAAAAAAACCAAAACATTTTAGGGGCAGGTAGGTGGCACAGTGCATAGAGCACTGGCCCTGGAGTCAGGAGGACCTGAGTTCAAATCCGGCCTCAGATACATAGCACTTAACTAGCTGTGTGCCTCTGGGCAAGTCACTTAACCCTGACTGCCTCATAAAAAAAAACCGACTAGCAATAATGATTCATCAGTTTGCAAGGGGATCAAAACCTAAAAAATGATGAAGCCTGTGGATATGCTGAATACAGATTTACTTACAAAACTGCAGAATACCAGAATTTGAGGAGTATACCTTAAAACTCAAAAGAGATAAATATAAAATACAACATAAAGTGGCAGAAAAATATAATCCAAACTATACTTACATAATGTTGGGTTGAGATAATATAATATAGTATGTATAAAAAAGCAGAATTACAATATATAATTGATGGTAAACTCATAGAACTTGTTGTGCTATGAATGGTCAGGCCTGAAAATATAAATTAGCTCACAAACAGTTTTTAAAAATTCAGATAGCTGCATTATAGACAGAGTAGTTAAGGACACTATGTTTTAGAGATACAGTTCTAACCTTGTGAGGCTGTCATTACGGGGAACAATTATGTTCTTCTATAAGCAGTCCCTTGGTACCACTGGCAGACACAGAATACTGAACTAGAGAGATCATGGTGTGGATCTGTATGAAAATTTTTGTTCTTAGCAACATAACTACAAAAGAGATGTTATTCTTGTCTGTAGACAGAACCTGGTTGTTACACAGAAACAGAAGGGTGAAGGTGATAGACACTATAGAAAAATCTGAAATTAAAGAAAGAGGAGAAAACTGACATGCATTCATTTAGAACTCTACTTTATAAGAATACTACCAACCAACTAAAACACTGTATTTTTATTGTACTTGCTTGGAAAAGGTATGGTAGAATCCTTGAAAAAAACAGCTCTTTGCTTCCAACCAAGATGTTATCCAGTTCCCATATTCCTACTCCAGCAAAAACCTAAAAATCACACTAGAATGAATAATGACCAAGAAATTCAGTGAAAAACTACAGTACATGAGAACTTCCACTCCAGAACTGCACGAGAAATCAGCCAGATGCCTGGGTACAAGACGAAAGGGAACTGTCAGCAAAGCCAGTGCCAGCACTGCCTCCCTATGTGCCCAGAGATGGGATAAAGACATCTGTAGGCTCTTTATCCTAAGCCAGCAAGTGTGTATGTTTAAGGGGACAGGTGAAATCATAAACTCACAGTGGAGACCCTGGAAGCACAGAGAATAAGTGATATGCTAGCATTCAGATAAAGACAGCTCAGATCCAAGGGCTCAGAGGTCCCTATAACTAAGCCCTAAGAAACCATATAGGGTCCTGAAGATCCAGTGCTCTGAACCTCAAAGATCCACAGAGGGCCTATATTTAGAAGGTGGAGGTCAGCACAGAAATCCAGGTGACCAAGCAAGGCCAACCATGCCACCCAAAAGGGCATCAGAATGTTGAGCTGGACCCTGGCACAAAGCCCAGTGCAGACTGGATAGTGGAACAAACATTCTAAGATACAGACCACTATAAAACAGAATTATAATAGATCCAAAGATATCCAAAAATCTAACCTAGAAGAAAATAATACTATAACACAATTGTAAGCAGAGATTCAAAAGAGAAATAAAACAGATTTTCTATAAAGACTATAAGAATACCTAGAAAAAATGAAACAAGAGATTTTTAAAAATGAAATGAAAAGGAAAGAGAGATCATGGAATAGAACATCCCAAAAGGCAAAAAATATAGCTTACAATCAAGAATACCTTGCCCTGAAAAGCTAAGTATAATAGTACATGGGAAAATTTAATGGAATACAGGACTTTTAGATATTTCTAATAAAGACCTGAGCTAAGGAAGAACTCTGATATAAAAACACAAGAGTCCAGAAAAACCCAGAGAGGTATATTTATTTGAGCAAACTGGAAGAGGCTTTATGACGATGAAGGGCTAATGTTTTAACAGGGGTTGAACACCAACTATCCTTTCAGAACCATGTCTTCCAAGGATACTTAGAAATTACAAAAAACAAAGGACCAGGGAGTAGACTGTGTTTTGAGAGCTTTTAGCAAGGAAAGAAAAATGCTGGTAAGAAGAAGGAGGGAGTTTGGGCATCAGAATTACCTCATCTCTAACCTGGACAAAAGAGGGCTGAACATACATACCCAGAGTCTGGTGCAGAACTAGGAGAAATTCAGCAGGGAAAGAGGTGGGGTAAGAGAAGAAAGGTGGTTTGAGAGGGAAGATAATACCAGGGAGGGAACAGCTGCCAGTAAAATATACTTCCCAATCCTGAAGGCAAGATGAGAATAAAACAAAAAGAACTGGAAATGAAAAAGATGCCCATCAACTGGAAGAATGACTGAACAAATTATAGTATGTGAATGTAATGGAATATTATTGTACCGTATGAAATAATGAACGAGATGTTTTCAGAGATAATTTTTTCTTCTGCTTTTAACTGGGATGGGAGAGTATCAATGGTGATAAAAAAAAAAAAAAGAAAGAAAAAAAGAGGGCTACTGAAACCTTTTTAAGTGCACAGAGAAGAAGAGAAACTCAGAAGGAAGCATAGACAAACTAGGCAATTTTGCAAGTAACATGTTGGATTTATTACATACTTAAAAAGGCAAGCAGCATGGGAAAGAAATTCAAGGTTTCATATACAATCTTCTCTTTGTCTACCAGTTTATATATGGAAATGATCATTTTTTGAGTCTAAGTTCAGGATAAAAAAGCATTTTTAAAAAAACAATTCTGTGCCCCTGTTTATATGTATACAGCTTTGTTATTGTTGAAATAAAATGCAAAAGTTTAAAAAAAAAAAAGGAAATGCATCCATATGTATGCAGTTAGGCAAAAACATTCAGAGGATTACTTACATGGAGTTAAACATCCCCATCAGGGCAGTAAAACAAAAGCCAATAGCAAACATAGATTTCATTCGAACCTGCAATGAGAAACGTTACAAACAGTTACTGTACTCTGCTAGCAATCACCAAGAAAAAATACTACGATAGCAATGAACACAAATTTCAGTTTGACAAGGTTTCAACTGTCCATTAAATAATGGATCTCTCTCATTTAAAATAACATGAATTTCAAGCAAAAGGAGATTAAGAGAGCTGGTAAAAGTTCTTCAGCAAGTTAATGAGAACTGGCATCACTGCTTAGACTTCCTCTCTTAAAATCATATTAAAAACCAGAAGGAAAATCAAGTTATACAAGAGAATTATTTAATGGCCACTATGTTCATCCCAGAAAGAAGGGCTTAAACATGCTTCTCTTTAAATAAACGATAAATGAGTGATGAAATCATCTTTTTTATCATCCTGGAAATGTTACACCAAAAAAAATCAATGAAACTGAAAAAAAAAAAATCAACTGAAACTATCATGTTCTCATACTGACAGGACATGAGGGCCAGGAGGTATAAAATGAAGTCATGACAGATAAAAGTGTTTCACTATTTGATAACACAAAGAGTCTATGGGAAAAGAGGCAAGAATTGTACAAGAGGGACAACTGATAAACTGTGAGATGAGCTAAAGAGTACTATTCAATTTAATAAAACAAAGTCATAGAGATAATAACATACCTTCCATTTTGAACTAAATGACCAAAAGCATGGCAAATAACAAGACTGCCATTGCAGACTGGAAAAACAACATAATCCCATCATTAAAATAAACAAAAAAGGCAGCTGTAGGATGCTAGATGAAAGGCAAAGAAGAGTAGTGTGGCATGTAGCCTGTAAGTTTTATGCATATATGTGTATATAGATATATATATATATATCTATACACACACACACACATACATACATATCTATATCTATATCTTACCATTGACAGATCCCTGTTGTTATTCTTCAGTTTCTCCTCCTGCCTCTCTGCAAAGAATCAAGGCTAGAGTTAAGACACACAACATATAGTAAGTAGGTTCTCCAATACTTCAATCAGGAACATATATTATAACTTGCCTGGCTTCCAAAACCAACAGAAACATAAAAGCAAACTCCACTTTCACATTACAAAGTGTTTACCCTGACACTGTTGGTTGCCTTGATACTCTCCCCTTTCATGATACTACTCTCTCTAGGTTCTTTTTCTACAGATATCTGACCTCTTCTTCTCAGCCTCCTTTGCTGGATCTTCACCAGGTCTCATCCACTAATGCTGGTGGCCCACAGGGCTCTCTCCTCTTCTCCCTCTACCATTTCACTAAGGGACCTCATCGGCTCCCATAGATTTAATTATCATCTCTAAGCAGGTAACTCTCAGGATCTACTTATCCTGACCTGACCTCTTTGCTGACTTCTAGTAGCTCATCTCCAAATGCCTAACAGACATCTCAAACTGGATGTCCCATTGACATCTTAAACTTCACATGTTCAAACTGAACCCATTTTCTCTCCCCACAAACCCTCCTCTCTCCTAACTCTTCTCTGTTACTGTCAAAGGCACTACCATCCATTCACTCACCTAGGTTCATAATCTAAGTGTCATGCTTGACTCCTTATTCTTTCTCACCCACAATACCCAATATGTTGCCAAGGAACGCCAACTTTTACCTTCAAAACAACTACTGAATATGATCCCCTCTCTCCTCTGACACTGCCACTACCTTGGTGCAAGTCCTCATCACCTCACAGTTGGACTAATCCAACAGCCTGCTGTTTGGTCTCCTTGACTAAAATCTCTAGTCATTTTAGCCCATCCTCCATTTAGCTGCCAAAGTCAGCTTTCTGAAGTGCAGTTCTTAGCACGTCATCTCCCTACTCAATGAACTCCAGTGACTCCCTATCACTTCCAGGATCGAATATGAAATCCTGTTTGGTATTCTAAGTCTTTCATAACTTGGCCCCCTCTGTGCCTTTCCAGTCTTCTTATACATCACACCCTCCAACATAACGCTGCAAAACAGTGACACTGGTCTCTTTGCTGTTATTCACTTAAAACATTCCATCTCCTGACTCTGGGAACTTTCATTTTTTTCTCCCCTTATTTCCAGTTTCAAATGCTCTCTCTCCTTCCATCCCTTCTTCTACCATTGAGAAGGCAGGAAATACAAGGCCCATTATACGTATGAAGGCATGAAAAATATTTTCATGTTAGTCATAATGGGAAGGGAAAGGAGTGAGAAAAAGAAAAAAATATCCTTCAATCGCACTCAAAGTCCATCAATTCTCTATTCTAGGCACTTTCACAGGCTATCTCCCATACACAGAATTCTCTCCATGCTCATATCTGTTTTCTGACCTCCCATGCTTCCTTTAAGTCCTAGATCAAATCCCACCATCTACAAGAAACCTTTCCCGATCCCCCTTAATTCTAGTGCCTTCTCATCACACTACTCTTCTTTGATTCTCTTCTTACTGTGTAACTGCTCGAAATTTCTCAGTCCCTTTTCCTGCATCATCCACGTACTAGCCTCTAATGGGGGGGGAGGTGGAGGGACAGGGGTGGCACAGGAGAGATGACTCTCAGATCTGCACAGAGCCTTTTTCTCTTCTTTCTTGGTGACTCCTTCAGCTTCCATGTGTTTAATTATCATCATTTCTACCTCCTGGCTTCTCTGGATGGCTTCAAGTTCCAGCTAAAATCTTACCTTCTACAAGAAAGAAGTCTTTCCCCATTCCCCTTAATTCTAATGCCTTCTCTCTGTTATCTCCAATTATCCTGCCCGTAGCTCGTTTGTACATAGTGGTTTGCAATTTGTCTCCTCCATTAGATTCCTTGAAAACAACGACTTGCCTTCTGCCATTCTTTGAAGCCTCAGTGCACTTAACAGGTTCTTAATACTTGTTGACTAATTTGAGTACATTTTCTTGAAATAAAAAAGCTTAGGACTAATCCAAATTAGTTACAAGTATTGGAGTGGGTATTCCCTCCAATGATTCAGGTTATAAACCTTTTGCCCTTTAGCTGGTGATCTTTATGAATCACGTAACCAAAAACACAAAAAATCATCACCTGGTAACCAAGCCTTTCAGAACATAACAAGGCTGTTCGTAGAAAAACAGATATTCAACCTATCACTGGATCCATACCTGAAACCATTCTCTTGGTAGAACCTACCAGAACCTGCACTCATCGCTAACTGCCACCAAATCCAATGTGAATGGGCCTTTGCTACATACAGTATGCAGTCTACCATTAAATTATATGACTTTACTCATGAGAGACAATAAGGATAAAATAGACAAGACAGAAAGAACAGATGTGGGTTCAAATTCTGGTTCAAATTTAAATTTATAAAGTAGAGCATTTGAACCTTCTTTCACTTGGCCTCAGGGCTTCAAAGTCATCACCTATTATCTACTGTCCTTTAAAACACTGATTAACTGATGAACAATTCTTTATAGTTGTTTAAACTGCCCTACACCTTAAACCTGTGGACTCTGAAACATGTGTCCTCAACAGACCCACTAAGAGTCACTCACCAATTTCAGTTTTATCAAGTCCACCTCCAAGTTCTCCACCATAAGCAGTGAGTGACCCGCACTGTTAACAGTATTCAAGCAAATCTAGCTCCCTTAGCACTAGCCAGCCTCACTCCCAAGTATCATACTTCAGGCATATCAAAACTAAGTTGTCAGGAAAAAGCTGGGGACTTTGTTCTGAATAAGACAATCCAAGCAACCTGCTATGGCTGAACTGGAGAGGCAGCAGCAATGAGTGCAATACCACATGTTGGGCAAGATGAAACCTCCAGGAGAGCTTTCACCTCTGGTTCAATCCCATCACTACTTAAGAGATACAGAGAGCACACGTTAGTATTCCAGCAAAATCAAATAAGAAATGACTACAAACCACAATTTCAAAGATAAATTAAAATATACTTGAAGGAATCCTATAAAGAATCCTCAACCATATGCAAAACCTAAAACTAGCATGTTCTCTTAATCAAGATTTTAAACTTCAACGGTCAGAACAAAAAAGGGACAATTCTGTTCATATATCTTCCCTCCACTTTCATCTTTGAAGCATTTACTGTGCACAGACCACGGTGTAATCTTACCTATTTTCTTCTTTTGCTGACGGCCAGCAGATTCTGTTATTGTTTCCTTCTTCTTTTCCACTGTAATCAACAAAGCAAGAGTGGTTAACACAGAAAAGCAATAGCTTATGATATGAAAGTAAACTATTAACTCTTCATAATCATAACGATTAAAGAAATGGACAAAACAGCAGCAATGACCAGACATCACTTAATAGCTTCAGCTTATAGTCATGGGTAAGTCAGTTTTCTTGCCACAAGACATTAATAATTTTCTAAGAATGAAAACAATTCCACAAACAAAAATGCTAGAAATATATTAATATTGTCACAGAAGTGACTATTATAATTAAAGCCCAAGTTTTTTGACAGTTTTGAGATTATTTACCATCTAGGCTAATAAGAGGAATTGTGATCTACTAGGAAGAACAATGAATTTGGCATCAGGCCAGAGTTCTAATTAGAGTTCTACCTTCAACTCGCTATGTCAAATGGATAGGACCCTCCTCTTCCACTCCTATTTTCAAAACTGTCAGTGGCTCTGAACTGTCTGCAGGATAAGATAAAAATTCCTTGTCATTCAAGGCCCTCCACAATATGATTCAAACCTACAACTTTAGTCTACTCCCTTTCATACAGAGTATGTTCTCAGCCTACCTAGCCTACTAGCCATTCCCCCATCTGGTCCTACCTTCTCTAACCCCCATATGTTGCATAGATGGTTACTTGACAAATGTTTACTGGGCTGAACTGAATATTCAGCTCAGTTTTATAGCCACCTCCTTCCTCATTCCACTGCAGATTTGAACCAGCTACAAAAATGATCTCTCCACTTCCTAATTTCTCAAAACACTTGGCCTGGATCTCTGCTTTGGACTTAATACTTTCTGTCCTGTCATTGTAGCTGTTTAGTCATTTCAGTTGTGTCTGACTCTTCTTGATCGCATTTGGGGTTTTCCTGGCAAAGATCCTATAGTGGTTTGCCATTTCCTTCTCCACATCATTTTACAGATGAGGAAGTAGAGGCAACCAGGATTATTAGGTGGTCACACAGACAGTAAGTATTTGGGGTCAGATGTGAACTCAGGCAAATGAGTCTTCTTGACTCCAGACCCAGGCATTCTTATCTACTAAGCCACCTAGCTGCCCCTAGAGTTAACTGTACAATGGATTATACTGTTTCTTGTTGAAGATATAAAATGCTTGAGGAAGCTAAATCCAAATCTTTTCAGTTATGCTAACTGATTTGATGACAAATTAACATACAGGGCTGTAAGTTTGTATTGTATATGTAGAAATTTCACATCATTAGTAACTGTGATAAGTCTAGTGAAAGTAGTGCCCCCTCCAAAAAAGGTCTTGTCTCATTTCATTTAACACTGGTTCCCATGTTTTCTTAGTCATATCTACTTCACTTGTCAAATGTGTTACAAATGTATAATTTCAAATAACTGTATTGAATACAGAAAGCTTCAGCTAAGCCTCATCTTCTGAATGGAAAAGTATAAATTCTGATTATAAGATTTCTAATTTGCAGTTCTAATTGCAAGATTTGTATCAGTACTTAGGGAAAAATTTATATCCCTTAAATGGGTACAGCAATAATAGAAAGAAAGAGCAGATCAATGGGCATACAACTAAAAAAACTAGAAGATTTAAAACCTCCTAATAAGCACAAAAAAAATGAAAACCCTGAAAATCAAAGGAGAGATTAATAACACTTAAAGTAAGAAAACTACTGAACTAACAAATAAAACTAGAAGCTAGTTTTATGGAAAAAAAATAGATAAATCATTGGTTAATTTAATTAAAAAAAACTAGTTACTAGTATCAAAAATGAAAAGAGTGAATGAACCACCAATGAAGATGAAATTTAAGCAATTATTAGGAGTTAGTTTGCCCAATTATATGCCAATAAAACTGACACTCTAAGTGAAATGAATGAATGCTTTGAAAAATATAAATCACTCACTATTAATCTTTATTACAAGGTGTAGCTTGCCAGAGTGGTCTGGGAAAGGAATATAATTGGAAATGAATGTGATGTAAAAAGCAACAGGTATCAACAAAAAATAAGGTTAATTTAACAACAAAAAAAGAATAAGGCAGACACCTCATTTTTGGGGACAGGCTTTCTAAACTGGTAGACCAGGAGAAAGCCACACATATGATCTAATCTGATTTCTGTAAGGCATTTATCTGCCAAAGTCTTTCCCAATATTCTCACAGATAAACTGGAGAGATGTGGGTTAAGTGATAGTGCAACGGACTCTGGACAAGGTGAGTGGCGAGATCCAAAGAATGATGATCAATGAACTAACATCACCCTGCCAGGAAATTTCTAGTGAAGCACAAGGTTATGGTCCTGACCTTGTTCATTCAGCTCAACACTTTAATCAATGACCCAGTTAAAGGAATAAATGGCTTGCTTATTACATTTTGGATGGCAGTATACTGACAATAATAGCTAATACATTAAATGAAAGAGTGAAGATCCAATAACAGGGACGCAAAACTATAAGCTGAAGCAAATAAGATGCAATTTAATGAGGAAAAATTTTAAAGTCTACTCTTGGGTTCAAAACAATCAATTACCCAAGCAAAGCCCACAGTAGGCATAGCTACACTATAGTTCACATAAAATGCCATAGGATTCTGAATGTACATGCTCAATGAGTCAGGAGTATCCCTTGACAGAGGATCATTATGTATTAATAATTAGAACAAGAATTACTACATAGCACTTAAAGATTTGCAAAACACTTTTACCATACAATGTCATTTGAGGCTCATCCCAGTACTATTAAAGGTTTTATCACCATTTGACAGACGAGGAAATGAAGACTGAGAAGTGAAGTAGTTTGCCATTAAAAAAAAGAAAAGTGACTTACCCCTTGGCACAAAGATAAGTGGCAGAGGTGAGATAAACTCTGACCCTGAGCCAGACTCTAACCACTATACAACACTGTCTCTAAATTTTATTTGGGTAGATATTACCAACACAGATTGTAACCCTTCTATCACTTGAACAGCTCGCAGAAGTACTTGAGCCAAAACTTCATCAGTTAGGGGCAGCTAGGTAGCGCAGCGGATAGAGCACCAGCCCTGGATTCAGGAGAACCTGAGTTCAAATCTGGCCTCAGACACATAACACTTACTAGCTGTGTGGCCCTGGGCAAGTCACTTAACTCCACCGCCTAGCAAAAACAAAAAGTCATCAGCTGTGCCTTGCCCACCTCCCCCATCAGCACCCTCACCCCCTGCCCCAGTGTCAGATACCTTGCCAGAAGCTGGAAATCAAAGAACTCAGGCAAAGGTTTAGTACTGCACCAGGACTCAGAAGACTGAAACTGCAGGGAAGGGCTAATAACGGCCTGTCTGGACCAGGGTCTTAGACATCACACTAAGTGTATGCTCCACATATACTATGTCTTCTTATCTTCCACCATCTTGGGAATACAACTACTGAGCTGGTACTATACTCAACTGAGACCAGGGTAAAGCAGAGTTCCTGCCTGAACTACCTGCAACCACTCTTGTTAGCACTCTAGCATTTGGAGAAGGAAGAGCACACCAAAATGCCTTTATTACAGGTAACTGAAGGTAAATTTCCTAGCAAATGTACACTTCCTGCTCCCCTAACCCATGTTTCAGATTCTAAAAGCCCCCTTCCCCTTCTAGATCTGCTTCCATGCCCATTCAGCTCCAAACTTCTCCTCAGTCCTGCTCCTCCTCTGCCCCCTCTCTACTATGCCATCTGGAACTTCCACTCATAACAGACTTCCTTGATGAGTTTCCTGTGCACCTACACTGGTTGCTTCAGATCATGTCTGTTGTTTTTTGTTTCCACTCAGACTTTTCTGTGTCTTAAGAACTTCATTCTTGACAGTCTCCCATCCATCCTGGGCTGATTTTTCCAGTACAACATCAGCCATGGGATCCCAACTCTTTTTCTTCTGACTTACAGGATGAATGTTATATACCTTACTCAGCTTTCTCTCTTCCTACAGCACAAACTCAAGGAGCAAGCGGTTACTTCTTCCTAAAAGTGTCATCAATTCCACCTTGGCAACCAATTTCTCTCAGTTAGTCCAATCATATCAAATACACAATTTCCCTTTGTTAGTTCCTCTACTTTTTGAAGGATCAAATTACCATTAAGTCATTAATTTATTAGCTACTCTGCTTTTGCCAGAGGGGGAACACTCCAGCAGACATCCGGATAACTGAAGCCTCCTATCACTACTATCATATCATATCTTTGTGCCTCGCCTATAACCTTTTTTTCCAAACTCATCTATTTCCTCTTATAATATACTCCAATGACAAAGCTACTTCTTTTTCCACTGATCTTTACTAAACCAAATGCTCTCCAGCAAGTTCCTCCCCATTGGCTTCCATGATATCTCATTAAGTTTCTCTTAATATACAACGTCACTCCACTATAAACCACATTCCCTTTCACCTATCCTGTTTCTTCTGAATAAGATACCCCCCCTAGATCCATACTGGCTTCAAAGTAACCCATACTAGAGTTAGGAAATGATCCTAAGAATAACCTGAACATGTGACATGCTAGAGAAGGCAAAGGACCTACCAAGCTTAAAGGGCCACTGTCTTTTCCTACTTAAGCCCACTGAACTATGAAGATTTAACTTTAAAGAAGTACCTAATGAAAAAAGAAAGAAAAAAACAAAGTCCTATTTTTATATCAATATTCCTCCACTAATCTTGTGTTACTACCTGTAAGGGAATATCAAAATGTCTGAAGAATTAAATTTAAGGACTGAACAATGAAGCAGTTCACAGTGGATGGGAAAAGGTTTCAAACTATTAGCAAAGAGGCAACTCTGCAAGAATAGAGGGAAAATGAGGAACTGAGAGTCTGTGGCTCCACTGGTATCCCCACTTAACATCTCAGTACAGGCCTGCTATCCATGATGTATTCTGGCCAAATACATTCAATTTCTTCTTCTAGACAAATGCAAACATCTTCTGAGACTCTTTCTGAGACTATGAGGTGCCCTAATCTGAATCCTGGACTGACAGTGGGAAGCACTAGTCTCTAAGTTTGTTTATGCTAACATGCCACCTGTCTTCCAGTTTTCTTTTTATTCTAAGATAAAAAATTTACATCACTCCTATTTTGAGGGACTGATTTCTAAATCTAAATTAAATTTGTTAAAACTTGCAGCAAGAAAATGATTGGTGGAACAAACTTTTCTTATCAATATAACAGATGCTATGATGCACATTTGGTGAGCATTTAATACATTTTAAATGGAATCAAGTAATGATACTCACATTTTTTGCTCTGCTTTTCCACTTCAGCTTTTAATCTCTTATACTTGTCTGTCCTGTAAACCAGCACCCAAGTTATACCTGAAAACATCAAAAATAATACATTAAACCAATCATCTCTTCAATCAAGGCAACATAACAGGATGTGTTGGTGGCATATGTATCTATTTAGTTCCATCCTGGTGGGAGAAACATTGCAATACAAAGAGGAATCAATTAATTTCGAGTTGAGAACTTCTATTTCACAGGATACATATCCTTCCAACATAGCAAAACCCCTCAATCTGAGGCCTCTCCTATGGAGGGGAAAAAAAAAAGGGAAACCAACTAGAGAAGAACTGTTCAAACCATGATAGGAGACTAAACCACGGGACACGGGTCTAAACAGTCTGGCTAAAGACAGAATGATAAGGGGAAATTCCACCTGTCAGGAATTGCAGTCAGGCACCAGAGTTATCAGAAGATAGGAGAGAAGTTGCTAGAAGACTCTTCTAAACTAATGTCAAATTCCATCCCCCTCCTCACAAAAATAAAAAATTGTAGGTTGGAAAGAGGACTAGAATTGGATCCAGGGCCTGGGTTCTGGGCCTAGGCCCATTTCTGAACTGAGTGACACTGGTGTAACAACACTTACACTTCTCAAGTTTACAGAGTGCTTTGGGTTTTTTTTTGCCACCACAAACGGAGCTACAATAAATATTTTTGTACGTAAAAGACTTTCCTCTTTTAGTTCTTTTGGGTATAGGGCCAGCAGTATTACAATTAAGTCAAAGGGTATGGACTGTTTTAGTAACTCTTTGTGAAGACTTCAAGTCACTTCCAGAATGGTTGTACCCATTCACACAGATCCACCAAGAGTGTATCAATGTATCTGTTTTCCCCGCAATTCTTCCAACATTTGTCAGATTTTTTTTTGTCATCTTTGCCACTCTGACAGGTATGAGGCAGAATTTGAGTTGCTTTAATTTAGATTTTTCTAATTCTTAGTGATTTGGAGCATTTTTTTTTTCATATAGGTGGCTTGGGTTTCTTTAACTGTCTGATTATGTCCGTAGCTCATTTATTAATTAGAAAATCTATTCATTTGTATCAGTTCCTTAAAAATCTTGGAAATGAAATTTTTATCAGAGAAACTTGCTGCAGTTTTTTTTTCCAGTTAACTATTTCACTTTTAATCTTAAAATCACTACATCCATTAGTGCAAAAACTTTTAAATTCTATGTAATCTTCTGTGATCTGCTCTATTCCTTGTTTGGTATTGAACTTTTCTACCATCCATATACCTGATAAGTAATTTTTTCCAAGTTTCTCCATTTTATTATGTGACCTTTTATATGTCTAGTTCACATTCATTTGGAGCTTATCTTTGAACAGGGTGTGAGACAATGGTCTAAATCTAATTTCTTCCATACAGCTGTCCAATTTTCCCAGTTGTTTTTGCCATATAGTGAGCTGTTAAGCCAGTAGCTGGAGTCTTTATGCTTATGGAATACTAGAGCACACAACTCTCAAATGTAGCTGGAACCAGATTTAAAATGTTATTGGGAATTATTTATTAAAATAAATAAAACTACAATGGAGGACAGATTTTTTTTTTTGCTTTTTGGTGAGGCAATCGGGGTTAAGTGACTTGCCCAGGGTAACACAGATAGTAAGTATCAAGTGTCTGAGGTCCAATTTGAACTCAGGTCCTCCTGACTCCAAGGATGGAGCTCTATCTACTGTGCCACCTAGCTGCCCAGAAGATAAATAATGTTAATAAGTGGTTTTCAAAGTCAATATGCAGGCAGCAGAGATCATTACATATGGTTTAGTAGCCCTCAGTTCTGTTTGAGTTAGACACCACTATAGTAGAATATTAGATACATTTGCTTCTGTATATTATATACCTAATCTGTTCAACTGATTGATCTACTTTTTAACTAGTAACAAAATGTCTTAATAATTTCCACTTCGTAGTACAGTTTTTTCTTTGGCAAAAAAGAACAGAAACTAAGGGGATTCTCATCAATTAAGAAATGGCTATGTAAGTTATGTTATATGAATGTGATGGAATACTATTGTGCTTTGAGAAATGAGGAAACAGGGCGGAGCCAAGATGGCAGAGCGACAGCAGTGACTTGCTTGAGCTCTCCCTCAAACTCCTCCAAATACTCATAAAAAATGGCTCTAAACAAATTCTGAAGGAGTAGAACCCACAAAAAGATAGAATGAAACAAATTTCCAACACAAGACAACCTGGATGGTTGATCAGAAAGGCATATCGTGCCGGGCTAGGAGCGCAGTGCAGTACAGCACGGTGTGGGCATGAATCTCATGCAGCTGTGGAGGTTTCCAGACTCAATCCACCAATGCCAAAGACAACTTAGAAGGTCAGTGGGAAAAGTCTGTTTCTGTGGTGCTGAGACAGGAAGGCAGGGTCTCAGCTCCATTCCCCAACAGTGTGGCCCTGGGAGGGGGCAGCTGCTTCCCGAGCTTCTGGCCCACAGACTGAGGGGCAATCCAGTGGCTGATCAGAGAGGGACTGCAGGGATCTCTTTGCCAATGCTGAGGCAGGAATCTCTTGCTTTGCCCGTGTTGGGATCTGGGTCACAGTTCTGGGCGGCAGTGCTGGGGTGAGGAGGAGCGCTGGCATGGTGGAGCTTGTAGTGGCTGTGGAGAGGAACCCCTCCTCACAGTTACAGGACAGAAAGTAGTACTTCTGGTCACAGGCCAGGAAAGGAGTAAATACCTCGCCCCTTATCATACCACCTTGGAAGAACTGAAAATTTACAGGTCCCTACAAGAATCTCTGAAAACAGCTATACAAACCCCCCAAAGCTTGGGACAGTACATTCTCCACACTGGAAGCAGATCTTACCTTAACAAAGAGTTTAAAACTCAAGTAATTGGCCGGGATCATGAGCAAGCAGCAAAAAGAGTCAGACTATATTATCTTACTTTGGTGAAAAGAAGATCAAAATATACAACCAGAAGAAGACAACAAAGTCAAAGCTCCTACATCCAAAGCCTCCAAGAAAAATATGAATCAGTCCCAGGCCTTGGAAGAGCTCAAAAGGGATTTTGAGAAGCAAGTAAGGAAGTAGAGGAAAAACTGGGAAGAGAAATGAGAGTGATGCAAGAAAATCATGAAAAACAAGTCAACAGCTTGCTAAAGGAGACCCAAAAAAATACTGAAGAAAATAACACCTTAAAAATAGCCTAACCCAAATGGCAAAAGAGGTCCAAAAAGCCAATGAGGAGAAAAAATGCCCTAAAAAGAAAAATTGGCCAAATGGAAAAGGAAGTCCAAAAGATTACTGAAGAAAATACTTCCTTAAAAATTAGAATAGAGCAATTGGAAGCTAGTGACTTTATGAGAAATCAAGACACTGTAAAACAAATCCAAAAGAATGAAAAATTAGAAAACAATGTGAAATATCTCATTGGAAAAACAACTGACCTGGAAAATAGATCCAGGAGAGAGAATTTAAAAATTATTGGACTATCTGAAAGCCATGATCAAAAAAAGAGCCTAGACATCATCTTTCAAGAAATTATCAAGGAAAACTGCCCTGATATTTAGAACCAGAGGGCAAAATAGAAATTGAAAGAATCCACAGATCTCCTCCTGAAAGAGATCCCCAAAGGAAAACTCCTAGGAATATTGTAGCCAAATTCCAGAGTTCCCAGGTCAAGGAGAAAATATTACAAGCTGCCAGAAGGAAACAATTCAAGTACTGTGGAAACACAATCAGGATAACACAAGATTTAGCAGCTTCTACATTAAAGGACCGCAGGGCATGGAATATAATATTCTGGAGGGCAAAGGAGATAGGAGTACAACCAAGAATCACCTACCCAGCAAAACTGAGTATAATCCTTCAGGGGAAAAAATGGTCATTCAGTGAAATAGAGGACTTTCAAGCATTCCTGATGAAAAGACCAGAGCTGAATAGAAAATTTGACTTTCAAATACAGGACTCAAGTGGAACATGAAGAGGTAAACAGGAAAGAGAAATCATAAGATACTTATTAAGATTGAACTGTTTACATTCCTGCATGGAAAGATGATATTTATAACTCATGAGACTTTGTCAGTATTAGGGTAGTTGAGAGGAAAAAATTATGTATGTATATATAGATAGAGGGCACAGGGTGAGTTGAAGATTAAGGGGTCATATCTGGAGAATAAAATTAAGGGATGAGAGAGGATGATACTCAGAGAAGAAAGGGAGAGGTAGAATGGGGTAAATTATCTCACAAAAAAAAACCAAAAAAGAAAAGTCTCTCAGTGGAGGGGAAACGGGGAAGGTGAGAGGGAATGAGTGAATATTATTCTCATAGGATTTGGCTTAAGGAGGGAATAATACACATTCAATTGGGTATGGAAATCTGTCTTGCCCTACAGGAAAATGGGGGGGGGATGGGGACAAGAGAGCAGGGGGATGACAGAGAGGAGGGCAGAATGGGAAAGGGGGTAATCAGAAGTTCTGAGAGGGACAGGGTCAAAAGAAAGAACAGAATAAATGGGAGGGCAGGACAGAATTAAGGGAAATAGAGTTAATTTTTCCCAACATGTCTACTATGGACGTGTTTTGCATAACTGCACATGTACAACCTATATTGAGTTGCTTGCGTTTTCAATGAGGGTGGGTGGGGAGGGAGGAAGAGAGAAAATTTGAAACCTAAAGTTTTAAAAACATATGTTTTTAAAAAATGTTTTCACATGCTACTGGGAAATAAGAAATACAGGAAATGGAGTACAGAAGTCTATCCTGCCCTACAGGAAAACAGAAGGGGGAGGGGATAAGAGAAGGGGGAGAGATAGAAGACAGACTAGGGGAAGGGATATTCAGAATGCAAGCCATCTTGGGGTGGGGGGAGGGGTGAGATGGGGTGAAAATTTTGGAACTAAAAAACTTGTAGAAGTGAATGTTGAAAACTAAAAATAAATAAATTTATATAAAAAAAAGAAATGAGGAAACAACACATGGAAAGACTTGTATGAACTGAGGCTAAGTAAAATAAGCAGATCTAGAAAACAACCTATATCATATCAATATTACAAAAGATGAAAAATTTTGAGGATTTCCATAAATTGATGAAGAATTAAATGGATAGAACCAAAATAATTTCTATAACACTATAAAAGCAAACAACTCTCAAAGTTGCAAAAATTATGATCAATGACCATTCAAGATTCCAGAGGACCCATGAAGAAACAAGCTATCCATCAGAGCGGTGCCAGATTTAGGGTGCAAAATGCTATTTTTATGCAGCCACTGAGGTAATGTTTTGTTTAACTATGCATATTTGTTACACAATTTTTTTTTGCCCAGCGGGCCTCGTTGGGAGAGTACTACAAATGGCAAAGGTTGCACACACTTTCAAACAAGGTCACTGAATTATCAGTTTTACTTAACCTTTGTACTTTGTTATAAGATAGCTCTCAAAGTGAGTATAATCTCTGCATGTAATATAACAAAATACACCAAGAGAACATCAGAAAAAGAAATAGCCATTAAATCATCGGATGACTTATAAACACATCACATTTCTTCTTTATATTCCCCTTTGCACACCCTAGTTCCGTCTAATCTGGACTATTCTATATTCCCAGAATTTGAAATTTCATCTCTTGCCTCATACAATCCCCCATACTTAAGAATTCATTATTATGGGTTACCCTGACGAAGATGTCCTACTGGGAACTGGAAACACCAGATTAAGGCATAAAAGGTTATCTGTGTGTTGATATTAAATGCCTACACAAATGCTGAAAGTCTGTCTCTCAGAATTCTTATCTTCTTTTCAGGCTCAGCTATTACTTTCTCCACAAAAATCTTTCCTGATCTCCCCGCTCCCTCCCGTTGTAGAGCTCTTCCTTCTTTGGCCACCCATCATTTATTAAACTAATCCGTGTACACATAGTGACCCACCAGTAACCAATCAATAAGTATTTGTTGGTCGCCTACCACGTACCATATTAACAACTGGCACTGACATAACTCTTTAAGGTTTGCAAGGCACTTTCGTACATAAACTTCCTGGGAGGCAGGCACTACAAGTCGTATGGTTTTTAAATGTCGATATAAGAAACTGAAACTCGGGTTAAATGACTGGCCCACGACCACGCAGCTATTAAGTATCAGAGTCAGGAGTGGAGCCCAAATGTCTGATGTCCGACCCTCGTTCCCCATTTCATACATACTGTGCGAGGGAAGGTTAGTGTTGTACACATAGTAGGCGCTTAATAAACTGTTTGTTAAACTGAACCGAATCAGTGAGAAGCCCCTGCTCTCTTGAGGCGGGAAGGTGACCGAAGGGAGCCTCTGGGTCCTAAGGCCCGGGGCAGAGGAACCCCAAGAGAGCGGAGTGAGGCCCCCGCCACCGCCGCCGCGGTCCCGCCCTCACCCTCGGCCAGCAGCGCCGTGCACACGGAGATGAAAACGATGAGGAGAGTGTCCGCGAACATGGTGCTCATCCTGCGCCGAGGCTCCCGCTCTCCGAACCCCCCCGGAGGGGGCGTGGAAACACCTGCGGCGGCTCAGGACCGGGAGCAGACGAAGCGAGATCTCCAGATAACGGCAACCACCCAAGCAAACACGGAGACACCCCGAGAAGCTGGAAGACTCACTTCCGCTTCCGGCTCACGGAGCCGGATCCACGAGGAAAGACGGAAGAAGAGGAGCCCGGGGGAGAGGAAAGGGAGGAAAAGGGAAGGGGCGAGGCAATAAGCTGGGGAGAAAGGCAGCCAATCAGAGGGCGCTTCGTGCTGCAAGGCTGTCCGGACTCATCTCGCGGGATCTCAAAGGGCTTCCGCTTCTGAAGGTTTAGGCGGCTTCCGGTGCCCGTGAAGGGCCCTAGGCTGTCTTCGCGCTCCCTCTCGTGACTCCCCTCCCCCTGCCACTCCTGACTCCTCCCCTTGCTCAGTTTCCCGTGCTGACTTCCACGTCACTGAGCTCAGTCCTGTTTCCGGTTCTCCAACAGGGTTCCCAGTCGGAACCCTTAGAGACTATGAAGTTCCATTCTCTCACTTTACAGGTGAGGAAACCGAAGCCCTTTGAGGCGAAATAGCACAAGAAGATAATGACGGGCCGGGCCTAGAACTAGGGGCTCCTTGACTCTACGACCAGGCTCTTTTCCCCTTGTAGCACAGTGCCTGGCACCAGTAGGCGCCTGACAAGTGCTTCTTCCCTCCTTTCCTTCCTCCTCCCAGTTTAGATCAAATGTTCTTCACCTTTCCTGTGTCCTGGAACTTTCAGCAGTCAGTCTGGGGAAGCCTATGGACCCTTCTCAGAATAATGTTTTTAATACTTTTTAAAAACCAGCGTTACAAAAGAAACCAATTATATTCAAGTAGTGATATACATGTATATACATATATACACATCTGTACCCATATATACAAACATATCTATATAGCCATATCTGTAGTTCACAAACCTCAGTTTAAGAACTCTAGACTGGCAATGAATAGTCAAGGTTTTTGAATAAGAGATCGGCACGATGTTTTAGATTTGTGTGGCAGCATCATTTGACAGATTGTAGATCTTGGAATCAAGGAGGCCTGCTAGGGTATTATTTCATTTGATACAGGTATGAAGTTATGAAAGCATACTATAGTAGGTTGTTGGTGCAAGAAACACTGAAGAAAGAAACGTATTTTTGTAACAGTGGGTCTAGAAGTGTGTGTGTGTATGTGGGGGGGGGTGACAAGGCTTTTTCAAGGGAGGAGAAAAATGGTGACACACCACTGCTAGAAATTCAGCAAGCAAGTAGTTGGGAAATGCAGTTGGTTTGAGAAGAGAATGGGAAAACAAATGATATATTTGCCGCATGATTATTTGAGGTGATGGGACATCCTGATGAAGATGTCCTGTTGGAAACTGGAAATAAAAGACTAGGTCATAAATAAGAGTTGAGAGCTAGACACCATCTTTTGTATTGATATTTGTATAAATATGAAATGCATACACAAATGCAGAAAGTATGGGTAGCAAGCATGGCCTAACACAAAAGCAAATTTGACCTTGTAGGCATCACTGACACTTGGGATGAGACCCATGGCTGAAATGTAGTTATTGGACTTTATACCTTATTCAAAAGGAGAAGGTTTAAAAAAGAAGAGGTAAAGATTAGCATTGTACAAAAAAGTATATATGTATACATACATATGTATGTATATACCTATGAGAATCATTTGGGTGAAAATCAAGTGGAAGGGAAACAGAAGTGATATTGCAATATATATTACTGATCACCTACACAAGAAATACAGGAAACAGCTTACAAGCCTGTCATGGAAATGATGTAATGGTGAGAAGGGATTTCAATTATGCACACCCTGCAGGAATTTTCTTTCTGGTAAGAGCTGAGCAGCTAATAATTTCTTGGCTTGCTCAACTTGCTTAGCTACCTCATCTTTCAAAAAGATGGAGAAAACAAGGAAGAAGTGGTGTCTGGGTTGGAAATTATGAAAATTTTTTAAGGATGACCATTCCAGCCATGACTGTGATCACAAAGAGGATGAAAATTAGACATAATTTCATTGTGCACCCTAAGTCTTAGGGAAAATAGATTTTAAAGGATTTGTATAATTCCTGATTAGTGCAGTGGTTATACATAGTAGGTGCTTTTTACTTTGAATTGAGTTGTGAGAAAAGATAGGTTTTCTTGGCCACCATTTGGATGTTCGGGGTGAGGAGGAATGCACCTAATCTCAAGTGTCTCCCTATCAACTGTCTCATTCCTTGCTGCATACAAGTTGAAATGACTGCCTAATGGCACTAGGACCCAAGTCTTTTGATTTTGAGTGTAGTAGTGGGCCCCATGAGTGTTATTTAAAGGTACCAGTGAAAAGTACCCTGAAGTAGTCACTGTGCTATGTGATAAAGCTCATTATTCTCCTGTCAGCAGGATCTGGTACTGCATCTTCCTCCAGCCTACGTCTAGCTAGACATCCTGTTCCACTCAGGTTTGATATCTCAGTTCCCTCTGATGTCCCTTCCTATAGATCACTGAAATTACCATTAAAATTACCCAAACCATAAAATTTTATAGTAGAAAAGGATTTCAGATATTATCCAATCCAACCCTTACCTGAGCTCCCTTTACAACATCTTTTATAATTGGCAATCTACTCAAAGATCTCCAGGGGTTGATAGCAATCTCATTCTACTTTTCAGATCAATTTTTAAAAGAAAAAAGTCATTAATTTATTATGTTTTAGACATTTTTTAGAAATTCTTAGGTTTCAGAAATACAACTTTCAAAATTTTAATCAAAATTATTTCTCAGTCAGAGTAAGTCTAATTTCCTTTTATGAAACAACACTTCAAACATTTGAAAACAGAAAATGATAACTGTACTAAGTCCTTCCTTTTCCAAGCTAAGCATCTCCAGATCCTAAGTGGCAGTATAACCTGTAGTGAATGATTGGAAGCCCCACACCGTAAAAAAGATCAGTCGGAAGTTGCTTGATGAGCATAGAATCAGAAAAGAAAATTTAAAAGAGGAAATTGTGTGTTGCCAAAAAGATTTTTAGATCAAGCTGATAGAGCGTGTTTTTGTCATCCTTTTCTACACTAGGGCCAGTTTTTTCTACCTTATCATTGCCATCTGTCAGCTAGTCTATATATATATATATATATATATATATATGTGAAGGCTCATTATATGTAGAGTATTATCTTAGACTTTGAGCTAATATGGAATTAAAGAATGTGATTCTTTGACTTTGGGGAAATCATTTAACCTTTTGGGCCTCAGTTTTCTCAGCTGCAAAATAAGGGATCTGAATTAAATGAATTCTAAGATCTCTTCCAATTCAAAATATGTAATCCTGTGAACCTCTTTAAAACAATCTTTCCTGATTGACAGCTATGGATAGTCACTGCTAAGGTAAGATAGTCAAGTACTAAGGTGCTAAACACCTTCCTTAGTGCTATAGGAACTATGCCATTCTTAATTCTCCATATCCCCTTTTCTAGCTCTTTTCACTGCTCAACAGAAAATCTTTCCCTTATATCATTTATTTCATATGTTATGATGTTATAATTTCTAATACTATAGCTCACTTTACATTAATTTATATTTAAATGGCTGTCTCCTTGATTTTTTATAGAATCTCAAAATTAGAAAGGTCTTCAAGTATCATCTATTCTATCCATGCCTGAATAGGAATTCTTGTTTCAATATAGCTAACAAATCCTGCAGTCTTACTTTAAGACCTCAGGTAAGGGTGAAACCATGACTTCCTGAGGCATTTAATTTCATTTTTGGCTAGCTCTAATTGTTAGGAACTTTTTTCCTTATCTTGAGCCACAATTTTTCTTTGCCATTTCTATCCATTGTTCCTAATTCTGCAAAATTAGATTAGGCAGAATTCAAATTTCTTTTTATATGACAGTTCTTTGGCTGCTTGAAGACAGCTGTCATCTGCCTAATAAGTATTATCCTGGTACAACTAAATATTCTCTATTCCTTCACCTGATGCTAGTGTGATGTGAGCTCTCTGATAGGATCTGGGAAGGCTATTTCCCGGACATAAAAATATATGAGATATCATGTCTATTTTTCAAGGAACTTATAGTTAGGAGAGAGAAGACATACAAATAACTGTAATACAAAGCAGAATATAGTGGCATAAGCATTTTGTCATAGGGCTTCAGAGGAAGCAGGAATCATTTCTAATGGATGTAATCAGGAGAATCTTCATGGAGGAGATGGCGTTTGAGTTTGGACTTGAAAAATGTATAAAATTTCTGTTGCTGAAGATGGGGTAGTTATTCCAATCAGAGAGAATCAATAAAACAATATATGTGCCTAATATATTCTTGGCAGTCTGTTAGTTGGGGAGAATACAAATACAAAAATTTGACAGTCCTTACCTACAAGGAGTATACATTTTACTGGGGGCAATATAGCATGTTTACAGATGAGTAAATACAAAATATATACAAAACAATTTGGCAAAGGCACTAAAAATGGGGGAGTCAAGAAAGGCCTCTTAAAGGAATTGGCATTTCAGTCAGTCTTGAAGTGAGCTAAAGGTATCAAAAGGTGGAATTGAGGAGAGAGGATCCCAGGGACTGGGGAGAGCCTGTGCAAAGTCACATATGTGAGAGGTTATAGAATTTGGATAAATGCTAAATAGGCTAGTTTGGCTGGTGTGTAGAGCATGTTAGTGACAGTAATGTGTACTTAGCCTGGAAACTGGAGCTAGTTCAGTTTTAATTTAGACACATTGAGTTTCAGAAGTTATAGAAGGACTTCCAAGTAGAAATGTCCATCAAAAAGTTGGCAGGGTGATAGAGCTGAATTCTGGGAGAAAGGTCAAGACTGGAGAAACATGACTAAGAGTCATCTGTAAATCATGTCTTAAGGGCATTTACTTCCTGGAAGATATCTTCAGATCATTAATTCTGTCTGCTGTATATAGATTCTTTTTGCTACATGGGTTACTTTTTTTAAAGTCAACTTCCTATAATAGCTCACACAGAGCATTTTATAATTTTCAAAATAATTTCTTGAGGCCAGTGGTTTTATTATTTCATTTTATAGATGAAAAAACTGAGGCTTACAGAGGTTATGATTTAGCCACAGTCAAATGCGTAATAATTTTTATGGAGCTGGGACTCATATACAGGTCTTCTAACTTTAGGCAGAACCATAAGTTCTATTAGTACTTTGCCACTACCTCATTGCCTCTTTATCCACTTATAATACCATGGTAATAACTAGAACTGAAAAAAATATAAGAGAGATCATCAGTACACGGACCAGAGATTTAGGAGTTGAACTTCTCCAAAAACATCTAGCCATTTTGCTTTTTTTATGAATTTTCTGGGCTGAGAGAGAGGGAAGGAACAGAACAATATCCTCTTTCCTCTGAAAAATATCTGGTGACTTGGCATCATGGTAGTCTGCTCTGCCTGTTTTGTAACAGCGCTTTTCATTCGTTGGATTCTATTAAAATAACTAAATTCACAGTTTATAGATAGACCAAATATATCATGTTTACTGAACCTACTATAATCAGTGCTATTGCTCAGGTATGAGCAAGCAGTTTTGTGTAAGTGCTCTATAGATTCTACAACCACCTTATACAGTATTAATAATTAGCTAGTTTAGAAAAAATCTTTAGGATGATGATAAGGTCTCAGAATGAACTGGGAAAATAAACTGAGTGCTTTTGATTCCAAAGTAACTAATGCCATTTGTTGATGAAGGCTGCCTTCAATCCATATGGGTAGAATTTTGTCTACTTTCCCATAGCTATGGTCTGAAAAAGGAATAAATCTTTCTATCATTTAGATGCCTTAGTCTTTCTCCATTCCTTGTATGTAGGACTCAAGGGTCCAGCTATAGCCAAATATCTATTGATAGATATTCCTAAGCCTTTCTAAGTACCCCTCTAGGCTCAGTTTCCCAATTTCTCCTTGCGTTGGTATGTTGACTCCTCAGGAAACAGAAAACCCTGAGGGGTTGTTGCTTCTCATACTATCATTCATAATAATATGATGGCTACTAATAGCTAACATATGGAGCTTACCGTGTGCCAGACACTATGCTAAATGCTTTACACATATTAGTTGATCCTCATACCAATCCTGGGAAGGAGATGCTATTATTATCCCCATTTTACAGATGAGGAAACTGAGGCAGACAGGTGCTTTGCCCAGGGTTACACAGTTAGTTAAATCTGAGGCCAGATTTAAACTCCTGTCTTCCTGATTCCAGGGCTGGTGTTCTAACCATTGTGCCACTTTGCTGCCCCACAAACACCTTTCAGAGTCCTTTCTCCAATGTCAATCAACTGGTTGATATCAATTAGCTATTACAAAAGGGAATTTACTGAGAAGATATAATAAAGACAGAAGTTGTAAAAATATTCCCTTCCCCACAATGAGGGTACATTCTCCCCTCTTAACATAATCCCTGGAAAGAGTGGATACCATGTAAAAGCACAAAGATAGTGAAGTAAGGACCATGTGGAACCAAGGGCTGCCTTGAGATTCTTGGCCTTGGGAGACCTTTAATCTTCTTAAGGAGCCTCCATCAAGTTCTCCTCAGGTTAGCCCAGCTGAACTGGCTCCTTATAAGGTTGGTGTCCCACCTGAGGGCCAACTGGCTACTGGTCTGGGTTAAGCTGGTCGCTTGATGCTTGCCAGGCTTCAAATTGTCCTCAGCTACTTGAGCTCCTTCACACTGCTACTGAATCTGGTAGCTGAGGATCCCTCCCATGGCTCTTCAGGCCTTTCAAAGTTGACAAGGTCCTAACCTGGTTATTTTCCTCCAGTACTCATTCACTTCTGTTGATGAGGGAAAGTCAAGAAAGAAGAAACACAAAAGAACAAAGGTGCTGTGTTTTCATGGATATGTGGCAGCCAGTTAAGATGAAGCCATAACTGCTGCTGCTCCTCCCCCACCCCGAATCCTACCAAGCACTTCGCAGTTTTCTTCCTCACTTGAAAGGGGCCTGGAAAGAGAGATCATCTGATGAGACCTTTTATATATACCCTTGATTCCAACTCAGCTACCAATTTAAAAGACTTTTTGTCACTAACATGCTATTGTGGATAGATTTCTGGCCTTGGAATGAGGAGGACGTGCATTAGAGTCCTACCTCTGTCCGGCACTAATCATTTGACCTTGGACAAGTGAAAGCCTTTCTGAGACTTAGTTTCCTCATCTGTGAATTGAGGGAGAAGGGAAAGTGTATAGCCTCAGTGGCCTCTAAAGTATCTTCTAGCTCTGAATCCATGATCCTGTAATCTAAAAACATCAGTAAGTAAAATCTCAGTTAAATCTAATTTGGGATTTCACAGCCAATGTATGGCAAAGGCAGGACTTGAACCCCTGGTTTTCCTTCCCCTCTCATTTCTCTTCCTCTCCTCCCTCTCTCTCCTCTTCCCCTTCTCTCTGTCTTTCCCCTCTCCCTCTTCATTTTCCCCCTCCCCTACTCTCTTTCTCCTCCTCATTTTTGTCATTTACTTTTTTAAAATGTACATTCTTTCTTTTAAGTAATTAAATACACATAAATTTAAGTGGACTGGGCATTAAGAATGAATCAAAGGACAGAGAGGTGATAGACTCAGAGTACAGACTTAGACTTTTTTTGAAATGACCAATGCAGAAATTTATTTAGCTTGATGTTACATATTTGTAAAAAGGGTTTTTTTTTTCTTTTTCAGCTGATGGAGAGTGGAGTTAGTGGAACAGAAGATGAATTTTTGTTGATTAAAAAAAATAAAATTGTATTTTAAAAAGAGTGAATAAAGGCTGCTATGATTTAAGAGGTAGAGGCAAGAACCAAATTTCTGGGTGATATGGCCAATAAGATGGAGTCCTAGACATTTTCTCCAATCTTCATGACTGCCCAAAACTCCCAAAATATGAACTATTCTCAAGAGGCAAAATAACTGTAGAGGTCTCCGCAGACTAAAACACCAAAAACACTAATAAGGTACACCCTGATGAACTAACAGCAGAAAAAACTAGTCTCTAATCCCAAATACGCTCACTCAACATCCCCTCTTCCACCAGTGCCCACTTTCTTAGGGGCTACACAATGGGATGTACAGGCTTGTATTTCATAGTACACTCTACAAACAATTCCCTTGCTGATGCTAGAATCCCTACCCTTGTCCTCCTTCCACCATTATGTGACAACAAGCAACAGAATTCAACTCTGTTACTTCCCTCTTTTCCCCCCCTCCCAATTCATGGGCATCTATTTTGTTTCTGATTCTTAGCCATCACAAAAAGTGCTGCTATAAACATTTTGGAGCATGAGGACTTTTTTCTTATTGATGACTTCCTTGAAGTATAAGCCCAAGAATGGAGTCTCTGGTTCAAAGGGTATGGACAAGTTAGTTACTTCATTTACATAGTTCATTTTTGCCAATTTGCAGGGTGTGAAATATTAGTTGTTTTAATTTGCATTTCTCTTATTATTAGTGATTTTTTATGTGCCTATGAATACTTTGCAGTTCTCCATATTCTTTGGCCACTTATATGTTTGTATATCTTGTACATCAAACCCTCACCAAAGAAATCTGATATGAAGAATTTTTCCCATTTGACCACTTCCCTTCCTATCCTAAATGCATTAATGTTGTCTGTGCAGAAGCTTTTTGGTTTCAAGTAATCAAAATTGTCTGTTTTATCTTTTGCAATTGCCTCTCTGTCATTTGGCTAAGAATACTGTCACTGTGTCTTAATATCTTCCTGGATTTACTATTTGCTATCTTTCTGTGCCCGCCAGTGCCTGGGAAACTGTCATTACTTATTCATGGGCCCTAAGACACCTGGGCCTTTCCATTCACCTTAGTATTTCTAGGCCCTTCCATCCATCCTGTGGCTGAACACTCTTTCATGTGCTTCCTTCCAGCTTTATTTTCTTCTCCCCCAACCCTCCAGGCCATCCTAGAATGTCTAGGAAGACCCACTACTACTAGGGGTGTTCTTTCCCTTTTGTCTTCCCTCTCTGCTCCTTTCTCTGGCTTTGGCCAACCAGAACCCATCTTGACTCCTTGACTGCTCACATAGCCTGGATAAGTTAGGAATCACCATCTCTATTTCATCTGGTAAGTTGGAGGACCATCAGGCCTTACCAATTGCCTTGCCTGTATGCCCTGCAGACCCCTGGCACATCTTCAGAACTTCTAGGCCTTGCCATCTTCTCTGTTACTTAATCCTTAGGGGTTCTGGGCCTTTCCATCTGCCCTGCAGCAAAACTTTTATTTATATATTGTCCCCTCTTAATAAAGTGAGGGCTCCTTGGGAATAAGGACTGTCTAGCTTTTGCTTTTTCTAACCCCAGTACTTAGCATAAATGTTTGGCACAAAGTAAATATTCAACAAATCCTTTTTCATTCATTCATTCATTTGTCCCAGATACCATCTGACACAGATCTGACGTTCATTCATTCATTTGTCCCAGATACCATCTGACACAGATCTGACGTAAGACCTTCTTTGGCTTGTCACGAATATGGATTTTGAGCCAGAACAAAAGGTAATCTAAGGAGGCAGTCATTATTCTCCACCTACTTGACCCACCTTTCTGAATTTATTATGTATATCTGTCAGTAGCAAAATCTTGTAGCTTTGATATCTTATTTAGGATGACAAAAACAAAACCTCACTGTCTCCTTAGATTGTTATGATTTTAGATTGCATTAAATCAACTTTATGTGTTATTATTATGTAGAGAGAAGGAGAAGGAATGACTATTCTGAATCACTTCATTCTACTTCAACAGTGTAATTGTTAAGGTAAGCTAAAAAGTGATTTGAACATCCACAGCTTTGGGATCTGGAGGCCAACCTCCCAAGAGAGAATGATGCAGGATAGGGACTACAACTGGCAACTTGTCTCACATTGTATTTGTCCAGCTACGTTTAAATAGCTGTATTTAGTATTTGTAGACTTACAATCATAGAAACTCTGTAGCTGGAAGGGTCCTTAAAGAAAAGTGATCAGAGTCTGATTTCAAGAAAAGAACATACTTTTAATAAGAATTGGCAAGAAATATTCTTTATCAAATGATATGTATGATTTTTAGTCCAGGCAAATATAGAAATAGGGATAAAAAGAGTCACCAAATCTGTAGGTCCAGAGAAAGCAGGGCATGGTAGATGGAGAGCCAGCCCTGGGGTCAGTAAGACTTGACTGGATTCAAGTCCATATTCTATTAACATGGTCAAGCCACTAAGATCCCTCAGCACCCCAAGTGACTCTCTAGGGCCATAAGTTACAGATGAATTGCTGATCTTCAGTGGTGAAGGGAATTCCAACTGCAAGAGTTTATCACACCAAGAAAATCCTAGGTCTGAACCCCCCTTCCCTATGAAAAGTTAATCTATAGATCACTCAAGGGACAGCTAGGTGATGTAGTGGATAGAGAACTGGCCCTGGAGTCAGGAGGACCTGAGTTCAAATTTGACCTCAGATACGTAACACTTACTAGCTGTGTGACTCTGGGAAGTCACTTAACCCCAGTTGCCTCACCAAAATATAAACCACACACACACACACACACACACACACACACACACACACACACATATCATCCAAGATTTTTTGTTTTTTTAGGCAATTGGGGTTAAGTGACTTGCCCAGGGTTACACAGCTAGTAAGTATTAAGTGTTTGGTCTGAGGCCGAATTTGAACTCAGGTCCTCCTGACTTCAGGGCGGGTGCTCTATCCACTATACCAACTAGCTGCCCCTCAAGATTGGTTTTGAATGACTTTAAGGAACCTGGCATTTTTCTTCCAAATGTGAGAGGAAGGGATCAGTGATAGGAAAGTGAAAACAAACATGTTAAAGGATTATAATAGATTTAGGTCTGGAGAAGACCTTAAAGGCCATGGAGTCCATCCCTTCCTGTAAAGATGAGGAAACTGAGGCACAGAGAAGTTATGACTTGCCTGGAATCACAGCTGAAAAATGAGGTGACATTTGAATACAGGTCTTCCTCATTCCAAACCTAGCATTCTAATCTAACTATATTATGCTGCCTATACCCAACAAGTAATAGTGTCCTTACTTTTCAAAGCACTTTTGCATCTATTAACTCAACCCTAGAATAGGTGGGTAGATAGATCCGATATTTTCATCCTCGTTTGATAGATAAAGAGACTAAAACATAGGGAGATTAAATGATTGGGAATCCAAACTAGTTACCTCAGAGCAAGATAAATACATTGTACAAGGAGGGAAAATTGATTCTTGAGAGGCAGTAGCATCGATGTAATTGGAGGTACATCCAGGGCCTATTCGAGCCTCAGATAATTATAAAATTGATACTTCCAATCATTAATCCATTCCTATCTCTCCCAAGAACCCAGTGATCCTTGCTCCCCTGGAGCATTGGATCCTATGTTCTAACCCTGTGTTTTCTGACCAAAACGTACTGTGGATTAGTAAAATATACAAATGCTGTACGGGAACCACTACGGTTATATAGCTGTATTTTATACTTTAGTGAATCTGTGATTTCATTGATGTAAATGTTTTCTCCATTGATGCAGATTATAACATATCCATATTTTTTTTGTTCTCTGTACTTCTTGTTCATGTTCTCAAAGATCATTCATAGAGGAACTATCCAATGTAGTGAAGGCCTTCTAGAGCTGTTTGTAGGTAAAAATGTAGATAAGAGTTGGACTATTTCTGTCTTACCACATGACTAGTCCATTTTAAAAAAAAATTATAAAAGGATCATATAGTTTGAGCTGGAATGGACCACCAAAGTCATCTAGTCCAATTCCCTTATTTTACACATGAGGAAATTGAATCCCAGGTAGGTTTAATGACTTGCCTGTTTTCACATAGGTAGTAAGTGGGAGAGCCAGTGTTCAAACTTAGTTTCTCTGAGTTCAAATCCAGAATGCTTTCTATGGCATCATGCTACTTTGTCTCTTTAGTAATATCCATTACAGCACTTCTTGTGTAATTTTTCATTGGTAATGTGTTGCAGCATGCTTAATACCCATCATGTACACTTTTCATTATACTTAGGTTGATCCTTATATTTCATTCGTCAGAACCTATTCCATGAATCACAACCATAAAACATTATTGGAAGAATATTGTTGGAAAGATGGGCCGTTGATATTTTGTACTGTTGGTAGAGCTATGAAATGGTACAGCCATTCTGGGAAGTAATTTGTAGCTATGTCCCCAAATTCATTAAACTGAGTATATCCTGTGACCCAATAATACCACTACAAGTCCTATAACCCAAAGATATCAAAGAAAATAAAGGACCCCATATATACAAAGATATTCTTAGTAGTTCTTTTGATAATAGCAAAGAACTGGAAACTAAGGGAATGCCCATCCTTTGGAGAATGCCTAAACAAATTATGATATGTGAATGTAATAGAATACTATTGTGCCATGAGAAAATGTGAAAAACCAGTTTCAGATAAACCTAGGAATACTTGTATTAACTAATTCAGAATGAAGTGAGCAGAAAAGGAGAGCAATTTATATAGTAACTACAACAGCACTGTAAAAACAAAGAACTTCGAAAAACAAGAATTGTAATGAATGTAATGACCAGCCTCTTCTAGGCCAATGGCCTCTAGAGGACCATTGATAAAGCATGCCACCCACTACTGACCAAGAGATGATAGACTCAGGGTACAGAATGAGATTATGTGGATTGTGTATATGTGTGTGTGTGTGTGTGTGTGTGTGTGTGTGTGTGTGTGTGTGTGTGTGTATGTAGAGGTCAT